AAGATCATCTGGAAGTTACACATTGCATGCCATCCCCAGAGATCTGGGAAGATGGAGCAAATGAACCAAACTCTAAAGTTAAAACTAAACAAACTGTCAGGAAACCTACCTACACTGGGACCAGGTGTTACCAATTGCTTTGTTAAGGATTAGATCTAGCCCTACTAGACAGACACGGTTCTCCCCTTATGAAATTTTTGTGGACTACTTCTTCCCACTCTAAGGGGTATATAAAGAGATCTAAAATAATTGGGCAACATTACTCTGGGGCACTAGATGCAGGCTCTTTGCTCAACCCTGACCACTATACACCATTGGGTTAGGGTACAGCTACCTGTGAATATAATCACAGTTGCCTACTCCTTTAAACCAGGAGATGCTGTTCAGTTGAGAGAATGGAATGCTCAACCCCTAAAGACCATTTGGAGGGGTGCGTTCATTGTCATTTTATCCACCCCTACTGCAGCAAAGTTGGCCGAGATGGTCCCTTGGATTCAGCACAGCAGAGTGAAACCAGCTTCTCATGACTGGGAGTGCATTCCTGATCCAACTGCACCATGCAAGTTGACCATCAGAAACAAGCGAGCTGTATCCCGAGACAACCATGAGGACAACAACCCTGCTTTAGTCACCCCGGAAGCTGACTAATCTACGCACGGCAGAAGCTTGAGGAATTGACCACCTGCCAGGATAAACAGACTATTATTATTTCCTATATTGGCCTCCTCACTGTAATTCTTTGGCAGTGTTACCCCTTACCCCTCTCTGTTGCCATGGTCTTAGCCTTAATTTTCTCTGTAGAATTTAGCAGAGACTGCTCTGGCCAACTGGCAATGGGTTGAAAAGTTTCTATTAGCAATATTTTACCTCCATTTGATAGAATGATGTATTGCTATTGGCTGTGTGTGATCTAATTCCCATTTGTACACTTAAGTCCCTTATCTTGTGAACCAAATCTTCAGGTGACCCAATCAAGTTAGGACATTTTCACAACCCTATTTTATCATATCTATTTCTCCTGAAAATGACCAGTTTAAGGGAAGTGTAAACATAATAAGACTACTATCATATCTACCAGCAAGGGACCAATATATTTGTCTTCACCCACAGTACTCCCCAACTGAGGAGTGGCTAGAGGTCTGAAGTGTTAATAGTATGGGTCAGATAATTAAGCAGACCCAAATCACTAATTCAAAGCTGCCAGTGTCAGTCTTCTTTGATGAATGTCAAGCCATAGATATGTACTGGTCTTGGTGATCTACAGAGGTTTATAGAGGGTTATCTTGGGAACAAGATATCTTGGGTACAGGCTCAATGATAAATACATGTGTGAGCAGCCATCAACTCAACCTGGATGTACTAATAAAATTGGTTACTTTCCCACCTGGAACTGTGTTTCATGGGCAGCCTGGCAGGGGCAAGGTAACAGTGCTCCCCCCAAAGAGTGTTGCTATACCCAACTGCAGTTCAGGAGCATGTAAACTGTTAATTTTACTATGCTTGACCCAGGGGATTCAAAATGAGGAAATGGACACAAAATTGGCATATCTATATATGTACAGAGCACAGACCCCTGGGCCATAATACACAACAAAAAGGTCACAACTCCACTTGAGTCTTCCTCCCATCCCACCATTTTTCCATTTATTTTAAGAAGAGATGAAGTCTGAATTCACCATCTCCAATACAACCAGAAATCTGTTTCTAAGCTTAGCAGAAACTACAGTTCAATCTCTGAATGTCTCTTCTTGCTATATGTGTGGAGGAACTAACATGGGGGATCAATGGCCATAGGAGGCTAAAGAGATAGATCCCCATGAGCCCTGTAGTGAAATAATGTATCCCCATTCAATTACTGGTGTTTGGTTCCTCAAAACCTCAATTATTGGAAAATCTTATTTTGCCTGAGAGGTAAACTGTTTAACAACTCAGTGAAGACTTTAACATGTCTAGGCCAAAAATTTTATAATATAACTACCCAGAAAAAAACAGTGTGGGGTCCTCAAGTCACACAGAACCAAATCCCCACCCCTGACAAATTTCTTTAACCTCAAACAGGCCTGGGGCAATGCCTCCACAGAAACATAATGGCAAGCCCCAAGTGGACTCTACTGTCTATGTGAAAGGGCAACTTATGCTAAATTATCCCAATTCTGGTCCAGACCTTCTATATTTTGGACAAATCTCTCCTCCTTTTTTCTTCTTCCATTAGCCAGAGAGGAGCAGTTGGCAATCCTCATATGTGATGACCAAGGATCCCAAAGGGGGTGACAAGCCCTGGCAATCAGTAACTGGAAAGATAATGAATGGCTCCCCAAATGGATAATTCTCTGTTATGGCTCTGCCACCTGTGTAGAGGACAGGTCCTATGGGAACCATACTATCATCTACAGGTTAAACCCTATTATTGGGCTACAGGCTGTGTTGAAATTATAATTATTGGAACTGCAAGAGCCCTCAATTCACTGGTCAAACAAAGTACTAAAATGTGAAATGCTATTTACCAATATCATTTAGACCTAGACTACTTGCTTGCTTCAGAAGGTGGAGTATGTGGGAAGTTTAACCAAATCAACAGTTGCTTACAAATAGATGATGCAGCCAAGGTCATAGAATAATCATAGATCATGAGAAAAATCACCCTTGTCCTGGTCCAAACATGGAAAGGGTGGATCCCCAGGGAATTATTTGAAGGATGTTTTTCAACTTTTGGGAAATTCAAAACTCTCGTAAATGTTGTGGTTTTAATTCTGGGGGCCCTCAGACTCCTACCTTGCCTGCTACCCCTGGTTATAAGTTCTGTTTCCAGTCTCATCGAAACTATGTTTGAAAGGAAAATGGCCATACATATCATGATGTTATGGAAATATAAGCCATTGAATCAGGATTATGCTCTATGATCCTCAGAGGATCTGAGCATCAAAGGGGGGAATGTGGTAAGTGTTCTCTAAGAACAAAGAGAAGGCAATGTGGCACATTCACTGCACATGTGCAATTCTGCCATAACTCTGACATAAATATGTAACTCTGTCCCAACTCTGTTGCAAACCTATAATACAGAATACCCAATCACAATGTATGTTAGTATATAGAGGAGAGGAAGGGGCTAACATAACATGGGGCCTAACAGAGGGTATATAAGTCAATGCTCTGCTGCACTTAGGGCTCAGCCTTTGGATATGAATCTGCTGGGCCACTGTGAGAACTATAAACAATGCTTCCTGCTGAAAGCCCTGGTGTCCTATCTCTCTGTGTGAGAATCCCACAACAGATTCACCAATTGCCTATGTGTTTTGCTATTGTTTTCCTTTTTTCTTAAAACTATGCCTTTGTCGTTGAATTGGCATCATAGACAAAGGTAAGCTTTCAGTAACAAATTGGTGATCCAGATGGGACCTGAGAGCAGCTCCCACTAATGCTTTCTTGGGCAGGTCCTCACTTCCATGCTGAGGATGCAAAGAGGCTGGTGAATTTGTTAGCCAACTGCTGGAGAGTTAGGAGATGGGTGAGTTTGCCTCAGGTTGAACCACAGGAGATATTCTTGTGATTAAAGGGAGGGACTGAAGGACTGCCCCAGCAGCTGCTGCAACCTCTTTTGCTTCATGAAACTCCCACCTTCTCTCACTGAACTACATGGATTGCTCCATCTTAGCCTACTTTAAGAAAAAGGAAACTGAACTCAGTATATTCACATCTTTGCTATCTGGTAACTCTCCTGATGTGCACACCAGACCCTTGATTCTACATATCTGGTTCCCCTTTGTGGGAATATCTGGTCCTGCTTTGTAAGGACATCTGTGTTGCCACTGGTATAAAAGTCAAGGTTGAGTGGGAGTTGTGAACTTGGAGGGATTTCCCCCCACCTGGTTGGTCTCTTTTAAAGGTTGTCTGTCTCTGAATTTTTTATTTGTACCTGTAACTGGACTTTTAAGACACGGGCAAGGGCTGGGGATGTGGCTCAAGTGGTAGCGCGCTCGCCTGGCATGCGTGCGGCCCAGGTTCGATCCTCAGCACCACATACAAACAAAGACGTTGTGTCTGCCGAAAACTAAAAAAAGTAAATAAATATTAAAAAATTATCTCTCTCTCTCTCTCTCTCTCTCTCTCTCTTAAAAAAAAGACACGGGCAGTACTGCATTGATCATACAGGTAGCTTCTTGGGAAGAAAGATCTTGGCTAATAGGCCACATATAGGTGTGAGCATCCAATGATGACAACCCTCTAAGTGACTTGCAACTCTGAGTCACCCAATCTCCCAAATAGGGAGATCATGGGGACCCTGGAGAATAGGAACCCAACCAGTGCACATTCTGCCAACAGGAGAGTCATTGGACAGGGAAATGTCCCCAGTGCTTCCAAAGGAAGCCACATATGATCAGTAACACTTTGACCAATCCTGGCAGATGGCATGTCTTGTAGAGGAAAGATAAAGGAGCCAAGAAGCTTCTCACAAGTTCTCAAGAGTGACTCTGAAAAAATCTCAGTGGACTCTTAGTACGTTGTAGTAGGAACAAAGTAAATTTTGATCAACTTGGTCTTTTTTTTTTTAAGTGTGTTATAAAATTTATTGGTGTAAGCATCCAGACACTTCCAGGTGGGAAAGATGATGATACGCAGATTCCGCTACGAGGTGCAACAGAAAATCGTGTGGGCAGGACAGTACGCCTGGTGCACGACTCCAAACAAAGGTTAGACGAGAGTGCTTCCTCTGGGAAACTCAGAATAATAATTTAAAGCTTCATGAGGCAAGATATGTTCCAATTTAAAACACTAAGAAATAGTACCATCGATGAAAAAGGAAATCAACTTCTAAGTGTACCAAAAGGGGTGAAGGACAAACAAGAGGGACATTTGCATCTGTCGAGGTACAAATGGGAGTGTTCCATCGAGGGGCGTTAATTATTATTAATGGCAAACCCTGCAAATACAAAATAAAACCCAAATCACTGGTCACATGACTCAAAATTTACATGTAATAAAGGCAAGGCAATAGACTCAAGTTATGGCCTGTCAAATATTTACTCCACGGACATTATCTACAGAAGCACTTGGCCGATTTGTACACAGTGATTCCTTATGCACGCCAAAGGGGTTTCTGTAAAAATGACGCTATATACAGTCTGTACACAGATCCACCAGCGATTCTCCATCTCCCCGGGGGAGTTATCGACTTAAAGCAGGATACCTGAGGTTTCATGTCTTTAGTTGCCTTATCACAATCCCAAATATACACTTCAGGGGTTTTGTTTTCAAAGACATTTTCCTTGAATATGTGCACTATGGTTAAAATTAAAAACAATAAAAAAATAAAATAATTGCTTGAAGGAGCTGGCCCTCCCCACCCCATGCGAGAGACTTCATCAGGCTGGGCACAGCGAGGGCTAAGTGTGTCCCTGGACGTCGCGGCCTTGGGGGTGGCCCTCCGTGGCGCCTCCAGCAGAGCCGGCAAAGGTTCTCCTCGACTTTCAAAAGGAGGATGCAGAAGAAAGGAGGGAAAACAAAACCCCAGAGGCCAAGGGGTTTCAGTGGGACGAAGTTCCTCCACCACTTAGAGAATATCTCTGCAGCCGCTGCACCAGCTGGGCCACCATGGTGTCCGAGATCCCGGGGCAGGCCTTCTGCCAGGTAGATGGCCCCTCGCAGCTCCTCTATGGACCCCAGGTTCCCTCCACATGCTTGGCTCTTCTCCTTCAGCTCCGCAAACAGAGGAGAAATAATTGTCGATAAACACTGAGAGAAAGGCCTCTTTGGGATGTCTTTCATCTTGTTTCTCTCCAAATCCGACAGCTGAAGAGCTCCGTTCTCAAGATTCTTGGGATCCTTCTCTCGGATTGTGAAGATCCAGTCCCCAGAGTCACTACCTCCAGATGCCTGGCCATCTGTTTCCGCGTCCGAGTCCTCAGAGCTGGAGTCGTCCTGGCTCTGCTCGGCCTTCCACCGCTTGTACCTGTCGATGAGCTCCGTCAGGTAGGACGTCTTCTTTGCATTGCGCATTATGAATTTGTGCTTCAGCAGCTCCTTAGCCATGGGTCTAAAGCTCGGCTCCTTGTTCAGACAGGCCTCCACGAACTCCTTGAGGGGTTTGCTGTAGTTCCCTTCCAGCGTCGGGGGGTTGTTCTTTGGAATCAGGAATAAAACCTTCATGGGATGCAGCTCGGAATGAGGGGGCTCCCCTTTCGCCAGTTCTATAGCTGTTATACCCAGTGACCAGATGTCCGCCTTCGAGTCCTAAGCTGACTGTTTAATGACCTCGGGCGCCATCCAGAAGGGGGTGCCCACGAAGGTGTTCCGCTTTATCTGGGTATCTGTCAGCTGGCCCGCCACTCCAAAGTCCGCCAGCTTCACCTCTCCATGCTCCGACAGCAGAACATTGGCGGCTTTGATGTCTCTGTGGATTTTCTTCTCTGAATGAAGATAATCAAGTCCTTTCAGAATTTCTCTTAATATGGTGGCAATCTGAGTTTCATCTAAAGGGCCAGGTTCTAATAGATCCAGTGCAGAGCCTCCGCCAAGGTATTCCATTATTATCCACAATTTAGTATCCTTCAAGTAGGATCCATAATATTTGGTTACATAGGGACTGTCACACTGACTCAGCACTGTGATTTCTTGTTGAATGTCCTCTATCTCATCTTCAGCTTCTTCCAGATCAATGATTTTTATGGCAACCACTTTCTGAGTCCGATTGTCAATGCCTTTGAACACCTCACCAAAAGAGCCTTTTCCAATTTTCTCCAGTTTCGTAAAAAGCTCTTCTGGGTCTGCTTTTAGGTTCTGCATGCCCGGCAGGCCCGACTGCACCGGGGAGTGGGCCATGGCGCTCCTGACGGCCACTTCCTGGCACGGGACGGCCGGACCGCGGGGATCCGCGCGGGCGACAGGCCCGCGGGCCGCGCGGGAGCCCGAAGCCACCGCAGCCCCGGCGGGTCCCGGCCGGCAGGGTCTCAGCGGCGGACGGCGGGCCGCGTCTCCATGCACGGAGCCGGGAGGGGCTGCGAGGGGCGCGGGGCCTCGCGCGAGCTGCTGCTGCTGCTGCTGCTGCTGCTACCGCTGCGCCGCCGCGGTGCTCGGCTGCAGCAGGGCGGCCTGGGCCCGCTCGCGCTGGCCGCCTGGAGCCGGAGTGGGCGCGCACAGCCCGCCGAGCCCGCGAGCGCCGCGCCCCGCCCGGGCCCGGCCCCGGCCCGGCCCCCGCGCCAATCAACTTGGTCTTAAACACCTGGCAGAAAAGTATAACGAGTGGCTCTTTCAGCATAACTTGAGATGTACACTTGTGTTATCCCTACAAAAAATAAGTAAAATTGGAGGCTATAAAAGAAGGGTTCTTATATGGGAGTGCCCAATGATAACTATACTGTAGGACTAGAGTGTCACCAGTTTGTCCTCAGTTTTAGAAACAGTCTACTAATTGCTTTTGTGGTAATTGTTTACAAAAAGTAATATTTTGATGTCTTATTTGTTGTTGTCCTAGCATGATTCTTGCCTTATTTATTCCTTGTCTAGTCATCTGCCAACCACCACCATGGGCCTCTGGACAGCCCTGCTGTTAAATGCCCTTAACTGTCCATTCCCCAAGCAACAGAGTACAAAGACTTTGAGCCACTTTTCTCCAACGTTGCCATCTTTCCGCAGGAAGCATTTTGGAGATGTTGTAACCCATTTTTCCATAGAAATTGACAGTTGGGAAATGTAATAGCTGTCCACCTCATGCTTTTGTTTCTCATAGCTCTTGTTTCTCTTCCAATGAGGCTTATTTTTTAAATGGACATATTTTCTTTTACTCTTCTCCCTCTCCCCATCCACAACCTGGGGTAGGGGAACAAAATTACCTTTTCCCCATCCTAGGCTAAATTATCTGTCTTGAGCATACAATCACCATAGGATCCAAGTTACTTTGACTTCAGAGATAGCACCAAAAGATCTAAGAAATGGATATCTCCCAAATGAACAAGTAAATCACAAACCCCAATGTGTCATTATTCTCTTCTTCAAGACCCTCTGTTCTCCCTATCATGTTCCTTATGACAGTAGAATCAATTGCACATGTTGTATAAACATGCAATACATCTCATTCTAATTAGGATCCAGGTCTTGTGGATACACATGGTATTGAGTGAATATCTTGTTTCAAAACCCTCTATTATTCCTGAAGGATAGAATAACAGCCTGTGGGACTGGTGTCCCCAGTGCTTCTCCTCTGCTAACAAAACAATAAACCTTCTTTCTTTCTGTTTTCAAAACCATGACATCATTATTGGATTGGCATCAGGTACAAGGATCAAGCTTTTGGTAACATTGGCAACCGTTCTCTATAATGGGGAGAATTATAGCCTCTGGGACAGGAGCCTCTGTGCTTCTCCTTTGCTAGCAGAGCAATAAAGCTTCTTTTTCCTTTTTCTCAAAACTCTGTCCTGGTTATTAAATTGACATTTGGGACAAGTACTGATCATTCAGAACAAATGTGGGATTAGTTTTGACATATTTAGTCAAGGACATAGTATAATTTGGTCTATTTTATTACCTAGTGCCTACCTTTGACCTCACATTCCCTCTCTCAATCCCTTACTCTAATGGTTTCTCTCCTATTTTCATGAGATCCAGTTTTTGTTCCTTTTGTTCACTCTAGTGTCCACATATGAGAGAAACATTTGCTCTTCACTTTCTGAGTCTGGCTTATTTCACTTACCATGATATTTTCAGTTCCATTCATTGATCAGTAAATAAGTTTATTTCATTTATATTTATGGATGAGTGAAACTCAATTATACACTCCTCTAGTTTGATGATGGATATGTAGGCTGGTTGCATAACCTGGCTATTGTGAATTTTGGTGCTATGAACTGATATGCATGTATTCCTGTAGTATGCCAATTTTAGTTCTTTTGGATAAATACCAAGAAGTTGGATAGATAGGTCATATAGAGGTTCCATTACTAGTCTTTAAGGGACCCTACATACTGATTTCCATAGTGGTTATACTAATTTTGCACTTCCACCAACAAATCATAAGTGTACCTTTCCCCGCTCCTCTTCTCTGGCATTTATTATTACTGATATACTTATTGAGCGCATTCTTGTATTCTGATTGAAGTGAGATGAAATCCAAATGTAATTTTGATTTGCATTTCTCTGATGGCTGGGGATACTGAACATATATTTTTCATATTTTTAACCATTTATATTCTTTCTTTTGAGAAATGTCTGTTTATTTTTATTTGCCCATTTATTGATTGGGTCATTTGTTTTGTTTTGGTGTTAAGTTTCTTGTGCTCTTTATATATGCTGAGTTAATATCCCTTGTCAGAATAGTAGCTGGCAATAGATTTTTCTCCCAGTCTACAGACTCTTTTCACATTCTGGTTTCTTTCACTCTGAAGATTTTTAAAAATTTTTTGCCATGCTGTTTATTGATTCTTACTATATTATTTACTGAAATTTAGTTGTTATTAAGACTTTTTTCACCCCGCATTTATTGGTGCCTACTCAAGCCATGTAACATACTAAGCACTAAGGACTTGAGTATTGAGAGAAGTAATTTCAACTTGGACTCACAACCCAGCCAAAGAGGCCCTCAAATTACTGATTTTATATGTTGAATAAAATAACAGGTAAGTACAAAAGAGTTAACTATATTGTCTGAAGGAGACTTGAAAAAAGAAACAGGTAATATTTGCAAAATCTTTGCTTCTTTGGGGAGGGGAACAGAGTCCTCCTGCTATGCTCTTGAAGTAATAACATATTAGGTAATGCATATAATGCAACTAATGCATTACTACCCCAGCCTACAGGATTCACTTCACAACATGTGGTGAAGAGTACCATTCTTATATTCATACTACATGTTTTACTCTGAAAAAAGTAAACCATTATAACCTTTTGTTTCCATTGTGTAAATTTGACATCAACAAAAGATGTTTTGATGAACATAAACAGAGGGAAATGATTACTGTAATCATTCAAATTAACTTATCTATCACTTCACATGTTTACTTTTCTATATTTTGAATGGACGTGTGGTAAGAGCACCTGGAACCCACACTTTCTGAAATTTTCTAGTTGCAACAAAGTAATAATAAGGATTCATTATATTGTTCATTAGAGGTCTGGACTGATTCATTCTACGTAAGTACAATTTAAAATTCTATAAATGACATTTTCCCTCCACCCCATTCCAACTTCTATTTTCCTTCACTTCTGTGCATTCAACTCTTTTTTTAAAAAAAAATCAATTTACAAGTGAGATAATGCAGTGCATTATTGTGTCTATGTGGATAAATTTGTACCTTTACTTTATTTATTTATTTTTATGTGGTGTTGAGGATCGAACCCAGTACTTCATACATGCAAGGCAAGTACTCTACCACTGAACCACATCCCAGCCCTATGTGGATAATTTGATTTAGCATAATGAAGACTAGGTTTATATATGCACATATATGTACATCACAATTCCTTTGAATATTTGTTTTAATCAGGTTTTGCATCACTGCAAACAAAGGTCTGAAAATAACAACTTAAAGGCAGAAAAATGTATTTGGACCCACAGTTTCAGAGGTTTAGTCCATAGTTGTTTAAGTCCATAGCTCCGGGCCAGAGGTGAGGTAGAATATCATGGCAGAACAGCATGGGGGAGGAAAGCAGCTTAAGACATGGAAACCAGGAAATAGAACCAGGGACAAAAATGTAAACCACAAAAGCACATCCCAGTGACCTATCTCCTCCAGCCACACACAGCCTGCCTACAATAAATACCCATTTAACCATATCAGAATTTTAATCCGCAACACTCATAATTTAATAATTTCAACACTGAGCATTCCTGCATTGTCTGCCACATGAGATCCGGGGTATTCATCATGTCTAAATCATAAGACACTGAATCTGTAAAGGGGCATTTGATTCTCTTTGGTCAGGGGGACTCATGAATGTAGAGCACCATCAACTGTCAGAGTAGCTCAGGAGTTTGTTACCTGGCTGAAAGTTGTAAAAAGAGGGGGCTTGATATGTGAACAATCTCTGTTCATGGAAAAGTTGGAGACCTGGTTTAATCCTCACTACTGGGTTTGGTGGGGAAGTCAAGGGAAGTACCCAATTGCCCATTCAGGCTCTGAGTGGTCTTTTGTTTCCCTGCCTGGCTGGCACCTGTATGAAGGCTGAATTCAGTAGCCCTATCCTATGGCAGCAGGTGGGAAAGTGTAAAGGAAAATCTCTTCCACAGAGCAACAGGAACTTGGGAATTATTGCTTACTTGTTCTGCACTAATTGTGGGGACAGGGTGTATGTATGTGCTCTCATGCCTATTTAGAACACTGTTTTATTCTGTTGTCTGAGAGTACTCTGAAAAGTTGTTGCATTTCATAATGTGAGTTTGAAAACCAGTTCCTTAGAGTGGGAAGAGTAAAACAGAGGAGCTGTATTTGTGGTCTCATTTAGGACAAGCTAAGAGTTGGGTATTCCTTCCTGACTGTAAGGTACTGAGGTAGGGTTTGTGATGAGAATGTGTTTCTAGTTATCCTGTCCATTTACATGCAGGTATATTCTAGAATTTAGGGCTCTCCCAACTAGTTTCTGATTTCACTGATAGGAAATTGACATATCTGTAGTTGTTTATTCATTGCATGCAAGGGAAGAAATAAATTGATGAGACTCCTATGCTTCCATCTTTCTGAGTTCACTTAAAACCTTTTTATATTTAAGGGGCCGGCCTTGAAGCTGATCTCCATGAACTGTCTCTGATAAAGACTGGAGGTAAAAAAAGAAGGAGATTGTCTTAATGTCAAGGGGGAGTTTGTAACTAGTCTAGATCCCACTCAAGTGACAGAAGCAGGTATTGTAATCCTTCATATTGCAAAATTATGGAGATTGATCTTCTACAATATATTATACTTAATA